ACTTAAGTGGATTCCAAGGGCTTCTTGATCAGATGTTAGTAATGGGTACCAAATTTGATGATGAACTTTTGGGATTGTTTTTATTTCTATCTTTACAAAGGTCATGGGAGACGTTCCCAGTTTCTATCACAAGTTATACTCTTAGAGGTATTGTTTCTTTAGAAACAACTAAGGTTAGTATTCTTAATGAGGAGATAGAAAGAAGGTACATGTTTCTTTTATAATTTTTAAGTATAATGAAGTGACTTCTATTTCATATCACTTGAGTAAATTTCAAGGGCTCCTTGATCAGATGTCAAGAATATGTACCAAATTTGATTATGAACTTTTGGGATTATTTCTATTGCTATCGTTACTAGAGTCTTGGGAGTCGTTTTGGGTTTCTATCATAAGTTATGCTCCTAAAGGTATTGTTTCTTTGGAAACAACTAAGGGTGGTATTATTAATGAGGTTATGAAAAATAGGGTACGCGATTCTTTATCTCAATATCAGATACTTGTCACTGAAAAATATGGGGAGAAGTCATAAAAAAGAACCGAAGGGTGGTAGAAAGAATAGAATAAGCAAGTTTAAGTCAGGATACAAGAATATAGAATGTCATTATTGTCACAAAATAGGACACATACAGAAGTATTTCTATAAGTGGAAAAAGGATAACATATGCAAGAAAGGTAAGCCTAAACAAAGAGGTCATGAAGATTATAATGATGATCATGTTACTACTTTACTAGTCATGATCTTGTTATTCCCTGTGATCATGGTCTTTTGATCTCTTATCATATTAGAACATACAGATAGTTGACGGTGGTGCTACGTTGCATATTACACTGAGGAAAGAGTTCTTCATATCTTATACTTCTGGTGACTTTGGAGTGCTGAAAATGGATAATGGTGATGTATCTAAGGTCATTGGTTTTGGTGATGTTTTCCTATAAATCAACATGGGAATAAAATTGTTGCTTAGATGTGTCAAACATGCTCCAAATGTCCATTTTAATTTGATTGTGCATATGCTTGATGATCATGGTTATGAGAATCACTTTGATTTTGGAAAGTTGAAACTCATCAAAGGTAACTCGATTGTGGTTAAAGGGGAGAAATTTTATAAACTGTATTGGACGAAAGGTTTCGTTTCTAGGAACATTGTGAATGATATCGACATTGAAGCAACTTTATGGAACCGAAGACTCAATCATATTAGTGAAAAATGGCTAAATGTTTTGGCCAAAAGGACGTGCTTCCAGAAATAAAGAATTCATATTTGGAGAAGTGCGTTCATTGCACGGGTTGTAAATAGACTAGAGTATCCTTCAAGTGACATCCTCCCTCAAGGAAGTCAGAGTTTCTTCAATTGGTCCATTATGACGTTTGTGGTCCATTAAAGGTAAAGTTCTTTAGTGGTACACTTTATTTTGTTACATTTATTGATAATTGTTTCAGCAAACAATGGGTACAAACCTTGAAGACAAAACACCAAGTGTTAGAGAAGTTCAAATAATTTCATGCTTTGGTTGAGAGACGTAGCTAAAATGTGTTCGTTTTGACAATAATTGTGAGTATTAAGGATCATATGATGCCTATTGCAAGCAGCAAGATATTGAACCTAAATATACTCCTTCTAAAACTTCTCAGTTGAATGGTTTAGCAGAGAGGATGAAACGAACATTAATTTAAGCACTTTACACAGCGATGCGTGTTCTTAATCTCACTTCTGTTGTTGCTTTGAACAGTAAAGTTCCAGACAAAATTTGGTTCGGAAGTAACTTCAAGTATGATCTTTTGAGAGGCTTTGGTTGTAAGGGTTTTGTGCATATTCCAAAGGATGAAATTTCCAAGTTGGATACAAAGTCAAAACAACATATCTTCAATGGTTATAAGCAAGATGGGTTTGGTTACATATTGTGTGATCCTGCAAGGAAGAAGCTTATCAAAAGCCACAATGTGGTGTTCATGGAAGACCAAAATATTGAATACATTGATAAATTAGAAAAGACTACACCCAAGAAAGACACTGGTTTGACTAATATTGATCTAGTTTTGTTACCTGTTCATAATCTGAATACTGTTGATAGTGATTATAAGAATGATGAGCCACATGATTGTTTTTATGATAAACAACTTGGAGATGAGGAAAATATTCCAACTAATGATGGTGAATAGGAGAATGATGTTGGGAGAGAATATGAGAATACAACTATCTAGAGGGTGGGGGTTGAATAAACCTCCTTAAAAATTTTACCAATTAAAGAATTGTTTATTTCAAAAAGTCTAAGTTTGAAAAGTGTTTGAGCTGGGGGAAAATGTACATACAAAATATATACTTTTGGACATAATATACACAACACTCAATCGGTATATAAAAATTAAAAATAGATGAAACAAGCAACCAAAATCAATCAATTAGTTTATTGAATTTAAAAGTGTTCACACGAATTGTGTAGAGCGAATAAACATGTAACTATACAAAGTTAAGAAGAAAGGGATATAGAAGATTGCAGAAGGGTTTATATTGGTTCAGAGCCTTCATTCTCGCTTGCGCTTAATCTAGTCTCCAATGGTTATCCATTGAAAAAAATTTGTTCTTCCACTATGATTTTGACAAATTTTACAGTGTTATTTAGTACAAACACAATTCGGATAATGCTAAAAATTACAATCTCTAATCTGAATCCTTGTTGACTTGTACATAGTATCTAACACTGAGCTCTTGCAAAAACTATACTCGAATTTGACTTAAATATTTCATCTCCAAGAATGTTGCTTCAAGTTTCCATTCTGCAGTGATATTTACTCGATTCTACAGGTATCTTGAGCCTTAACCTATCTGAAGATAAAAAAAAGTCCAAATTTTTCTATAGACTTCCACACAGCTCTACCTAAGTTTTGGAGAGAATAACCTTCTTTTTTTTGCTAGATTTGTCAATCTTAGTCACAACCACGCACACAGTTGCAAACCCCTAAAATCCTTAAGAATTCTTCAAAGAAAACATTAATTACAATAATGATCCTCCTTATAGATTTCACACTCTAAAATGAGAGCTAGATCCAAATGACAATGGATGATGCAAGAAGATGAAAATTAAAGTATTTTGTTTTCAAAAATCAAAACAAGATTCAAAACTCTTTTAAAAATTTAGAGAACAAGTGTGTTGTGAATTCTAAATCAAAAGTGGATGTGTATGTCTTCCAACATTGTAAAAGGGATTTTATAAGAAAAAAATTATATATGTGTTGGAGATGTAGCACAAAAAAGATAGAAAAATATTATTTGATTCGAGTACTAAGCAATGAGTATGAAAAGAGTCAAGAGATCAAATGACATGAATCAAGAATCAAGAACCTAGAAAATTGACCCTATGATTCGAGTCAAGCTTTCTATAATTCAAGTCATATGATTCGAGTAAAAAAAAACTCTAAATTGAATCACATATATAGAACCATAATCCAAAAAACTGTAACTTGTGATTGATTCGAGTTGAGCACTCTGTGATTCAAATCAAAACTCTTTGATTCAAGACATGGATTGATGTGATTCAAATTACACAAACAGAAGAAAATCTTGCTTTGTCATAAATATGTTTGATTCGAGTCAGGATATCTTTGATTCAAATCATGACTTCACATAATCAATTTCTGGCTATTTTGTATCCTTGATTTGAACCGTGTAAGCTTGTGATTCCAATCACACTTTCAAAAACTTAAAATATTAAGTGTTTATTAGAATTCAAACTTGACATGACTTGAACCATTCTCAAATGTGGTTCTTGATTCAAAACTTTAAAAATTTGACTAGAAGCACGTTAATATGATTATAATCAAACAATTTGATTTATGCATAAGGAAAAACAAATTAATAACTTAACACTGAATGCACATTCATGTGAGAAGACTCGGTAACAATAAAAACAAATTCAAAAATTAAATGAAAAGCAACAAAACATAAATCCTAAGAGGTGGTGGCAACTTTAAATGATATGTCACAAGATGAAAATCTTAGTGAAACTTGAGAATTATCTCAAATTTAATTTAGGAAATTTAACAGACAGAAACAACCTTTTACAATTATAATTTTGATAAATATGTGACATTGATTATGAGTTAAACTTGAGTATTTCAAATAAACCATAAAAAGTGATGAAAATAAAAAATTATTGGATGTAATGTGAGAAAGTCATTGCATATATATATGACAACAAATAAAATATAATTTTATTAAAAAATTAAATATGTTTTATTAAAATATACTTGTGGCAAAAATATCTAGGTGAAAATATCTTTAGCAAAAATAATATAGAAATGAACAAGCTTAAATTGTCCAAAGCATTGCAAGCAACTTGTTGAGGAATTTCTCCATGTGCTCTTTCGTACAAAATTGTTTTTATTATTAAATTAAGGTGTGACCCTACCATGTCCTCATGCATCATTGTCATGGATTAATAGTACCCTAGTTATATGCCACGTGTCACTTTTAAAGTTTTTTTTCTGATCAACACGTTTGAAGCTTCAAATTCTATCATGATGACCTAACTACTTCATTTCACCTGCACTATCTCCGTCCTCATATAGAATTTCAATGACAAAATCTTACATATTGAGAATTGAAGGGTTTTGGGACCTAATATATTTTAATACAAAAAAAAATATTAATGAGAAAAATAGACCCATGATAAAGTTATAATTTAAATATATATATATATATATATATATATATATATATATATATATATATATATATATATATATATATATATATATATATATATATATATATATATATATATATATATATATATATATATATATATATATATATATATATATATATATATATATATATAATTTTTTTTTTTTTTTCTTTATACTTCATTTCATTAATGATGTAAACCCATTTAAATGAACCTATCAATGTCATGAACTCATCATCATCACAAAACTTATATATAAAAGCAAGTTAAACTCATATCCACTCATCATAAACCAACCATATACGAACACACACATGGCTAGTTCTAATCCTACAAATATCATCAATGATACCAACGATCACAACACATCTTGCTCCAACAATAACAAGTTGTACAAAGGAGTGAGGAAGAGAAAATGGGGAAAATGGGTATCTGAAATTAGGCTTCCAAATAGCCGTGAGAGAATATGGCTAGGATCATATGACACACAAGAGAAAGCTGCAAGAGCATTTGATGCAGCCCTTTATTGTCTACGTGGTCCTCAAGCTAGTTTCAATTTCCCTAATACACCTCTTACCATTATCAATGTAGGTGTTGCTCATATTAACTCTCTTTCACCACAAGAGATTCAAGAAATTGCAGCTAGGTTTGCCAACGAGTACGCGCCGCCGCCGCCGATTGAGTTGAGCACTACTCATGAAGAAGAAGAAGATCAACAAGTACCATTGTTAGAGGGTGATTTGAGGAGGATGGATTGGACTTTTGAGGATATGTTGGATGACATGAATGGAGTTGCTAATGGCTCTCATTTTGGCTATTATGGACTAGAAAAGATGCAATACTCGAGTGAGATACAATATTCTAATCAACTTTTTGAGGAGGAGACTGTGGACCAAATTGAATGTGAAGATTCTTTCTCAAACCATTCTTTACTTTGGAGTTGGAACTTTTGATTCACATGAATGTTTCTTAGAGTAACAAAACATTCCTCCACTCTATGGATTCTCTATCAAATTATATTCTCTATCTTTAACTTCAATTATAAATAACAACTTATATGATCCTAGAATATATGGCTTTGGAACCGTTATATATACTATTAGAAAACTTGTGAAATATTTCATATCTTGTCTCTAATTTTTCTTGCCAATTTTAAGTTGTTTTTTAAGAGTGAGATATTTCGAGTCTATAGCTTATTGTTTATCTTTATTCCTTTGTGGGTAACGAACCATGAAAACAAAAGATGGTGATATAATACTTGGCAAAGGCAAGAGTCTACATCACATCGACCATACCATGCCATAATTAAGTACATTATTGAAACTTTAAAGTGGCCACGTTTTTTGTGTGCCATCTTTCTTCTACTTGTAAGCTCTAGCTCGGGCTAGAAAAAGAAATTATTGACTCTTGCTAGCAACTACCTAGTACCACCACTAATATATATATATATATATATATATATATATATATATATATATATATATATATATATATATATATATATATATATATATATATATATATATATATATATATATATATATATATATATATATATATATATATATATATATATATATATATATATATATATATATATATATATATATATATATATATATATATATATATATATATATATATATATATATATATATATATATATATATATATATATATATATATATATATATATATATATATATATATATATATATATATATATATATATATATATATCGTGTAACTATTATTTGCATGAGTTAACTCTATTGTTAATTTGGTATTTAAATTTTGTTTCGTACCTTTTTGAACTATCTGACACTTTTGTTTTGAGTTTGCAAAAATAAAAATTTGGGATGTGTTTGTTTTAAATTTTTTAATGATAAATTTTATTGAAGAAAATTATTTTTTGTTGAATCCTTAAATTGTTCTCGACATCTCGTCTCTCACATTTTTGTACATGAAAATCAGGATTGAATTATATAATGTTTCTATTGATTCTTTAATTATTGGTTGTCATCTTGGTCATGCATACCTCTCTCTCTCTCTCTCACACACACACACACATAATGTAACACCTTAAACATCCCTCGCACAATTTAAATAAATATCAGAGTAAAATTCAGCAATAAAAAATAATTAGGATGCTACTGCTCAACAAACATCTGCTCATACTTTCATATACGTAACACATGTACTTTTAAAATTACTAATAGTAATAATAATAATAAATCATTTCTGAAAATCAACTTTATTAAAGCAGCGGAAAATCAACATTAACTAAATACTCCGAACATAAACATGTTTTCAAAATAAACATAAATAACCAAAATTTCCAACAAGACATAAAACGTTCCATAACCCCGATGTTACACATCAGAGCAGATGCCAACACTAAAAATAAATGGAAGACTTCAGCTTCTACTCACATCAACTCCTCTACTGTGAGTTATCTGCATGATGTCCATGTAAAGACAACATTCAAACAAAAAGGGTGAGAAATCAAAATTATATAAAGGAAAGCATGATAATAAGCAAGCATTAGATTATCACATGCACATCACCCAATCCACAACATACATTCACACAACCAACATAACCAAATTCCAAAAAAAACAACAAATACAACCAAGATGCAATGCATTAAAGCTCACAACTTGACTCAATGCATGTGGTACCATTCGGTTCCTATTTCAGAATTCGATTCCTATTTCAGAATCACAATTCTTGTTGGAGTTTCCATTACGTCGCTCACACCCCACACGGGCACACGACTCTGTGATCGCTCACACCCCACATAGGCACACAATCATGTCAACAACAAAAACAACACAATTCTACAACTAGAATTCGGATAAGATGCTCATACCCCACATGGTCACACGACTTATCTTACAACTCATGCAATCATGAAATGCATGGCAACAACAACAACAACAACCATCTAAACAATGCACCATGCCACTACAGGCCATAACAAAACATGCCATATAGTCTAGCAACAACAACATGTAACATAACAAGCATCCACAAGGCATTTATAATCATATCACACCACAACATAATGATAATAATGCGTTTAACCCAACCAACCGCATAATTATTCAACTTCTGTCACCAAAACTATTTTTAAACTAAAGTTCGCATGTCAGCTTCCTGACGCTTCAAACGACACTCAAATTGGACTCCCGAAATAAAATTTATGAAATTTTAAAGATTTTCAAAAGTTGGTCTCAATGTAATCAGTTACCCCAAATGTGGTAACCGGTTACACCCCTGGTAACCAGTCAGACAACACATAACGTACTCAATGTAACCGATTACCTCAAATGTGGTAACCGATTACAACATGTCAATTTGCCTAGAAAACGCAGTTTTTAGACAGTGTAATCGGTTACGCCCACAGTGATAACCGATTACACTGTATGCATAATCACTTTTTCTGCAACTTTTTACAGGAAAATCACTTTTAAGTTATTCCAAAATCCTGTTTTTTCTCACAAATCAATTGCGCAACATTTTACCACGAAAATTTAATTTTTCAAGTATCTAAATCCTCAATTTCTTTCTCCAAAAACATTCATAACATTGTTCTGAATCTGAATCGCGACCACATATAACCACAACATCAACATCAAACAACCATCAATTAAACGATTCAACAACAACAAAAATTTCAACAATTTCATCAAACTACAATAGTCTCCACATCAACATAAAACATTCATCGGAAATCAATCAAATTCAACAAATACCATTCCATCAAAATTATGAATAAAAAGAAGAGAAACACAAAACCTACATGATATAATCTACCCAACATTATCATGTTAACTCTTAGATAATTAGAACCCCACCCTTACCGTAGAGTTCTTGCAAAAAACTTCACAACAGTGGAGTCTTCTCTCTTCCTTATACCCTAGCCTCTTCTTTCTCTTTTTCTCCCAAAACATGTTTTGATAGTTCTAACTCCCAACTCTCATTTTTCCTCTTTTATTATATTATTATTATTATTATTATTATTATTATTATTATTATTATTATTATTATTATTATTATTATTATTATTATTATTATTATTACTAATTCCACTAATAATAATAATAATGATAATAATTACAAATTAATTAATTTAATAATATCCAACTAATATAATAATCAACTAAATATTACTAATATTATTTAATCAGTCATTCTCACCACACCACCAAGTTCTACATAATTGGTCACACACCCCTTTAACCCTTAAAGTCTATTCTTAAGGTCACTATCCCACACCAAGGTAGCTCAAACACATCAATAGCACAACACAATTACAATGATCACATAAATAAATTACAGAAAATAAATAAAATAAGTCGGGGCGTTACACACATTCACACATTAGATTCTCTTATTTGTTTGGTTTCATCTAGTTTGGTTATGTTTGGTTTCATTTTGTTTGTTAATTTGGTTTTTTTCTTCTATTTGGCTGATTCCCTCTCCATTTGTTCTTTTATTTGATTACTCATCACCCTATTTGTTACTTTGCTTGGTTGATCCCATCTCCATTGATTATTTTGTTTGGTTACTGCTCTCATTATTCATTATTTTGTTTTGCTACATCGTTTCTTTTATTAGGTAACTCCTCTCCATGTTGGTCATTGTGTTTTGTTTCGTTTGGATTGGATTAGATTTATTTTATTTGATCTGGTTTGAATCAGATTGTTTCTGTTTTATTTGATTCAACTTGATTTGGTTTGATTTGACTTGTTGGTCTGGTTAGGTCCCTCTCTTTAGATATTCCTCCTCTCTTGATCTTTGACTTATTTAAATTTTTATTCTCTCTTATGCAGTTGCTCCTCTTTACGATGATTCTTTGTAGGGGTGGAAAAACGGGTTGGGCCTATCAGGCCCACCCGTTTAGCCCACTATTTTTGGCGGGCCGGGGCGAGCTTTTTGGCTTGGTTTCATAAGTTGGCTCACCCTGCTAACCCACTTTTAAAACGGGTCGAGGGAGGAGCGGGGCGGGTATTGTCCACAGGCTTTTCATTTAAAACAATTACTTTTTTACTTTGAATCAAAACAATATGAGATGTAGTAGACATACTTTTAAAACAACCCTCATTTCTTCAAACTCTAATATTCATTTTTCACATAACCAAAAGCACCTCATTTTGAAGACATTAATTGGTATCTGCTTCGTTCTTTATTTTCACTCATAGTAGGAAAAGTCTTTATTGAAAACATAGAGAATACATTCTTTTATATTTTCTATTACTCGTTGTCATTGGAGTCGGGTTCTAAAGGTATAAGGTAAGTTTTGCACAGAGGGGTTTGTTTCTTATTATGATAATAATTTTTTTATTTTTGGGGTTTTAGTGTGAATATTTTAAGTTTTTGGTATTATAGTTACGTTGTATTGTTTATGTTGAAGAATATCACAATTACATTAAGACTTGTTAAAGTTTTACTATGTATTGTTATAATTTGTCGGCATCTTTATTAATGATAAACAATTTTTGTAAATTATTTAGTAAATCAAATTGAAGGAAAAAATTGGCTTAGTAAACAGGGCGGACTTGACTTTTGAGCTCGGACACCTAAGTTGGCCCGCCCCGCCCCGTCCCACATTTGGACGGGCTTAATTGGGTGGGCCGCCCGCTTTGCCACCCCTAATTATTTATATTGGTTTCTCTTTCTATTGGTTATGGTATTAGTTTGTTTGATTTGATCTCTTATTTCTAGGATTACTTTGTAACAAGCTTAAAGTTTAACAATTTTAGCTTGAAGGGGAATGTTAAAATTTTATATTTATATTCTTTATTATTTATAATATTTTTATTTTTTATTTGGCAAACTCTTAATGCATTGTGAGTTTGAGGAAAGATATTAGATAATATGATAGAGATCATTTCTTATAGTTGATATATGGGTAATTTAGTTTATTTATATATTATTATATACTTTT